TGTACATTATTGCTGTTTACAGTTTATCTCTATCTATAATAATATTCAAGATACACAATTGTAATAACCAAAAGCTGCAAAATTTTCTTAAAATTACCAATTCAGGGGCAGCAACCCAACAACCTGTTGCCTGATTGGTCTGTAAATTTTAGGGCAGATAGATCTTGACCTAATGAACAATTTTATCCCTATCAGATTTGCTCTTTATGCTTTGGTTTCAGAGATATGAGCCAAAAACTGCTTTTTTAGCCATGTCGGCCATCTTGGTTCGTGGGCGGGGTCATCGGACACATTTTTTAAACTAGATACTCTAATGATGATTGTGGACAAGTTTGGTTAAATTTGTCTTAGTAGTTTCAGAGAAGAAGATTTTTGTAAAAGATTACAAAAATTTACGAAAAATGGTTAAAAATTGACTATAAAGGGCAATAACTCCTTAAGGGGTCAACTGACCATTTTGGTCAAGTTGACTTATTTGTAGATCTTATTTTGCTGAACATTATTGCTGTTTACAGTTTATCTCTATCTATAATAATATTCAAGATGATAACCAAAATCGGCAAAATTTCCTTAAAATTACAAATTCAGGGGCAGCAACCCAACAATGTTTTGTCAGATTCATCTGAAAATTTCAGGGCTGATAGATCTTGACCTGATAAACAATTTTACCTCCTGTCAGATTTGCTCTAAATGCTTTAGTTTCAGAGATATAAGCCAAAATCTACATTTTACCCCTATGTTCTATTTTTAGCCATGGCGGCCATTTTGGTTGGTTGGCCGGGTCACTGGACACATTTTTTTCAACTAGATACTCCAATGATGATTGTGGCCAAGTTTGGTAAAATTTGGCCCAGTAGTTTCAGAGGAGAAGATTTTTGTAAAAGTTTACGGACGACGGACATAGGACGCAGGAAGCCTATGGGCCAGGTGAGCTAAAAAATGAAATAAAATAGATATAAGAAATAAGGTGTTTTGTTTTTCTATTGAAACTCTATTTTGTTGCAATAAGGACATCATGTTTATGACTTACAATTTACTTTTATGTATTGTGATTGAAAAGTGCACGCTACAAATAGCTTATGTCAACAAGTTTGAAAACCGGGAAATTTGGAAAAAGGTCAAAAGTCAGCGTGTCACAGCCAATACACAGTTATTCATATAAGTATGATAATTTATGCGTTGAAAAGCAATAGGCATTGAGTATTCTATGCGAGGAAACATTTCTTTTAATTATTCTTACTGATTTGTCTAAATTTTGATAACAAAATAGGAAAAAGCAAGTGTCCGCATTTTCACCACCGAAAATACAATTATAGCTGAAATGCGGACACAAGATATTTTGAACAACTAACACGTGCAGTGGTGCATATGTCAATTAAATTAAATTTCCGCACTCGCTCATTTTTTTACGCTTGGTTGCTGCGTGGGAGCGACCAAGCATAAAAAAATGAGCGAGTGCTGAGATTTAATTTTAATTAGATTGTAAGGAAAATAAATGCAGCAGCAGTGTTTATTGCTAGAAAATTAGGTTGACGTGGTTAAGAGTTGGACCTTCTTACTGCGGAATAGACAGATGAACTTATTGATATCACAGATTTTCTTTTGAAAGAAAGGTTTTAATAAAACATTTTAAAACATGATACAAACAAGACTGTGTCCATAGTACACTGATGCCCCACTCGCACTATCATTTTCTATGTTCAGTGGACCGTGAAATTGGGGTAAAAACTCTAATTTGGCATTAAAAATTAGAAAGATCATATCATAGGGAACATGTGTACAAAGTTTCAAGTTGATTGGACTTCAACTTCATCAAAAACTACCTTGACCAAAAACTTTAACTTGAAGCGGGACAGACTGACGAACTGTCGTACGGAGGGACGCACAGACCAAAAAACATATTGCCCTTAGGTGGGGCATAATAAAATAACCAATACATCGGTTTGAAAGACCTCTTGAATTTAGACTTTCTGCGAGCCTCCAACAGTAATGAATTTGTGCATCCAGCCGTCTGTCTGTCTGTCTGTCTAATGAAAAACATTGTGTCAAATTGAAAAACAAATGAAGCCCCTCATGGGGAGGTCCCAGTAATCGCATAATCACCAAATGTTTGCCAATATAATAACATAATCATTAAATATTTGCTTTGGTAATCATAAATTAATTTTGTTCAGTAATCAAATAATCCTAAACTAAAAGCTTGGTAATCATCATATAACCATTTAAATTTAAAATATTTAATCACAAAAAAGCTTCAAAATCTGGGTCATCTCTGGCATATCTTGCTCTTTTATTTCTTCTATGATTTTTTTTTAGTAAGCTCTTCCTCTTCCTCATCCATCTCCTCGGGTGAAACAGTATCACCTGCATCTTCCATATTTGGTTCGGTAATTTCTCATGTGAACAACATATACCTCACGTTTTTTAAACCTGCATGAACGAATGAATGTTCTGCAAATGTTGGTATACTGTCGCCAGTCGGATAAAATCCGATGCCATTATTGGTCAGAGAACAGGTTTTATATAACACAACATTTATTGCCATAAGGGGTAGCTCCCTTTCAATCTTTTTTACTTTTCATTTTCAAGATATTAGACTTAGGCCAGCAGGGCCCTTCATTCAGGAGTGACTCGGGTCAGTATTCATAATACTGACTTTTTCCATAATTCCCTGAAATTTTTGGTCTCCATTTTTCCCTATTCCCATATTTTTTTCGGACATTCCAATTTACAAAGTTTTGCATATACCCTCACACCTTGCGTTTTTCCCATTTTTGATTTCCCAATTCTTAAAAATTAAGCCTTTTAGTACTCATCCTATTAACTGTGTTCAGATTTTCATGGCGTTGGATGAGCCGCAAAAAATCATTCTTGTCAAAGAGTACATATAGAAACCTGAGGATAAATACAATTATCTTAAAAGTATCTAAAAGTGCAAATATAAAAATCTCCCCTCAACGAGTCAAGGCGTTTTATGCCACTAGGACTACAGATTTTTAAGTGATTAGGACATTAAAACACATTGCAATGAATGCCACACGAAATTGAAAGTTATCACAACTATATATGCATGCATGCATCTTGGAAGACAATATCACGATGGAAGTCGTCAGTACAAAAAATGTCTGAATCTTATATCATTTAATAATTGACCTATTAAAGATATTTACTGAACTTTTATAATCTTATTTTTCTCACCTTTCCACATGTATTACCAATTCATGTGAGAAAACCATTCTCAAACATGCTTTAAGATGTTCTGAAAGGGTATTCATGAAAAGTAATGGTATATATACATAATACCTGCGTTTTGAATAGCAAGAACTGTTAAAATTAAAGTGTCTGCAATTTGCGTCAAGGTGTCTGTATTTTAACTCCCCCTGTCAGCATTTACACGACTCGGCATTTCCGCAGGTTTTAAGAGTCTCCAATCTACCAATCAAGAGAGGAGACCTGAAAACGCGGGAAATAGTCAATTTGATACCCCTCTATCCTCTCCTGTCAAATGCAACCACCAGTATGTTCGCAATTGGCCTCGACGATATCGAATCCGGGTCCGTTCGCGCCCATTCACGTTCGCCCCCTTTCACGTTCGCACCCTGGGTCTGTTCGCACCCTACACGTTCGCACCCTTTTTATTGATTTTGTCTTAAATAATTTTTCAATCGTATTTTGGTTAGTGTATTGCTATAAATATTTTTTTTGTTCATTGTTTTAAAATGAAGTGACTTTCTAAAAACAATTTTTGTGTTGAATAATTTTTTAATCGTGTTTTGGTTATTGTATAATGCTATAAATAAGTTTTTTTTCATTGTTTCAAAACATGCAAAATAAAGTGACGTTTTTTGTGTTGAATATCTTTTTAATCGTGTTTTGGTTAGTGTATTGCTGTATTTTTTTTTTCATTGTTTCAAAATAAAGTGACTTTCTAAAAAAGGTTTTTTGTGTTGAATATTATTTAAATGTTAAGATACCAAACCGCTTTAAACACTCAACAACAATAACATTTTGAATCTTAATTGTATTTACTCATACCAAGTTAAATACATGCTAACTACATGCAGAATTTACATCAAGTTTAGCTGTGTAAACACCATATATAATTAACAGTAATCATAAATAATTAATCATCAAATCAATTTAAAACAATATTTCATTTAAAAAATTCAAAAATTGCCGAATTTTTCTTTATTTTGAGATAAACATCTTAAAAAACATCTTATAATTCATCGGGTTTTTGAATAAAAGAAAAGGGTGCGAACGGACCCAGGGGGCGAACGTGTGGGGTGCGAACGTGAAGGGTGCGAACGTGTATTGGGCGCGAACGGACCCGATACGGACGATATCCGAACTTCCGGATTTGAAAAAGTGTCCGCAATTCACGAATTTCCCCTACAGGATGTCTGAACTTATAAAACGGAGTAACTTTCTAATAGCTCCCAAAATATTAAAGGATATAAATTCATTAAGCAAATCTTGTCCGTTTTATCACTGACAAAAAGGGAGAGGGTAGTAAGAAAGGTGTGCTAACCTTTCAAACCAGGATCATCATCTCTCGCACGAATTTTCTTTATTTTAACAGATTTCCCACTCAATGTTGCTAGAATAATTCTTTGTCGCATATAATTGCATCCTTCGTATGTTAAGGTATTCTTTGCCATGTGGATTTTTTTCTTTTTCTTTTTCTTCGGTGTAAAATATTATTTTGCACATTCCTCTCAAAATATCGTTTTTGTAAGCGTAATTGCGACGCAATAAATGGACCTAAATTATGTCATACGCTACCGGTAAAAACATACAGCATCCGTTCATTTTTTTCCAACAAAAATACTATATTACTATAATTTTATATTTGATATAAAAAACATATTTTCAAATCTAGGATCCAAATAATAATTTCAGCCGAAAAGGTATATATTATTATTAGTTATAAGTTACGAATATAAACTTCATATAACACATGGTCGGGATATAAATTCATAAATTATGACCAAGTAGAGAATGAAAACAAAATGCACTGTCAACAAAAAAACCACAGGAGACAGTGAGGAGTCATGTTTTCTCTGAGCTTGAAACAAGAACTGTTTGATACTGAAATACTTGACTAAAATGATATACCTTTGAACGACTGAAAATAAAAATGTTAAAATTTCTGTTTGAAAGAGAGCAGGGTTTGCTTGATCCACTGAACTTGAGACGAGCTGAATCAACAAGAAGGACATTTGCTTTGGAATTAAGTAGACATAGAGATGTAGAAATGACCAGTCAGGGTGCTGTCAATTCCATTGATATCGATTTGATTGAATCAAGATAGTATGTGTCGCAATCTTGTACTAATTTCACTTTACCTGTGTACTAAATTCTTTTCTTTCATGTCGATCTGGCCAAAGTCTCTGGCCAAAGTCGTTCCGTCCCAAGTAGATCCGGCCCCATATTTAAAGTCGATCTGGCCCCAATATAATAAATATTTATATGGAAATACAACAAAGATATATAAGAAATCAGTGTAATTCATAAATGTTTATGAATTTTATAATAATATAACTTCACTGCGACTGAGCTTCGAATGGTCAAACTATGAAAATGTATTTTCAATGTCAACTGTTACTGCGAATGACCAGTCCTTGCTATAATATAAAGAAACTTTAAACTCTTAACTTTCTCAAGGTGACCCATGTGCTATTGATAGTTAATAAATACAGGATCTCCTGTAGTTGGTGATCGCAATACTGGTATACCAGTATTGTCCACAATACTGGTATAAAAATTTTGTACCAGTATTGTAACTTTTTTTTTAAAAACAGCAATACTGGTACATTACTGATATACCAGTATTGTAGTTGTATTGTTCACTATACTTTAAGGTGTATAATGAAAAAGATATTGACGATCAAAGAGAGTTTAAATGAACTCAAAAAGATTATAGAGGATAATTGTGAAATCAATTAACAACCAGTTAAAAATAATTACTATACTTGTACAAATAAACAAAAGATTATTGTAATTAAATCATCTTATTCAAACAATTGTTAATTATATAATAATTGCTAAAAAATTTATTATATTTCTATGTTTTATTGAATTCAATTTAGATAAAACAAAATAAAAGCTTTATTATCTGAGTTATTATTTAATAAATTCAAGCAAATTATTACACTATAACACTGTAAATTCAGCATTTACATGTACATGTATGCCATCGTATTTTTACAGATATTTTAATACATGTATACTAAGATTCTAGGCATTTGTTTGTCTTTATTTTCTTATCAATCTTTCACAATAAACATAAAAAGTTGCTTAATAGGGGAATCTGATTATAATCAAATTAACTACTTTTACTAGTTTGTCTACATGAATGTTAAGGGTAGTTAAAGCAGTTGATTCAGAACCATGGGCAATACAATTTGTAGCAGATATATCTACTGGTACAAATACTCAAATACTAATACTAGACAAGCACTCCTACAGTAAGAGAGCCGTACAGGTGCTATCTAAACAAGCTTGTAATCTAGTAAGCGTAAGAGAAAGTCCACAGACTGAATACATAAATATCAATATAGGAATTGAGGATTGCAGAAATGCCATCTGAAGAAGAAATAAACAATACCAATGCTGATGATACAGAAGCTATAACAGCATTAATGTCAATATAAAGTTCACTAAAATATACTATTGAGACTTGGAAAGAGAGAGCTGGAAGAAAACATAGAAGAAAGTAAAGAGTTTGTTAAAATGCTGAGACAGTACGGTTCCCTCAAGAAAAAAAAACATCAGAAGATTTAAAACTTTCTTTGACAACAATCACAGTGTACCATCAATGGCATCATCAGTTAAACATACAATCATTCCATATAAAATTATCATGTCATATGTTAATATCATTAGGCATATATATGTGACACCTTTAATAAAAGATTAATTACCTATATGTATTGTTTATTTAAAAAAACACAATACTGGAATACAATACTGGTACAAAATTTTTATACCAGTATTGTGCACAATACTGGTATACCAGTATTGCGATCACCAACTACAGGAGATCCTTAATACAAAATTATTTCTTCTTCATGTTATCTGAAAAAATATAACAATTAATTATTAGAACTTCAAATAAAAGACCTTGTTGCTTGAGTAAATTTTATCAATCATGATTTTGATTGAATTAAGTGGTTACTACTGGTGTTAATATGGTTAATATGGTTCACGATCATAATACAATTGTTGAATAAGCAAACCAATTATAGACTAATGGTTTGATTTAAACAAGTCATTATGATGATTACATAATTAGATGTTCTATTGGATTAATCTCTTCTATGTGTGAATTAAATAAAAACTTTTTTCCCATGATATTCCAAGTTATCATGTTAAATAACTTCATATCTATATATGCTGATGCTGCTTTACAAACAGTACCAATCATACTCATTCTCGTATCGATTTAAAATAATTCATCTGAATGTTACTCCAATATTAGGCATGCTTCACTTACCTGAACTGTCATTAAGCATTAATACTTTTTACAGATTCCATTTATCCTGATAAAAAATAGGTCACTAAATCTTCCAAAGTTAATATAAATTATTCATTATTCTATTATGGGCCGGATCGACTTGGGGCCGGATCGACCTGGGGCCGGGTTGGTTTGGGGCCAGAACGACCTGATACCAATTCTTTTTGGTCACTCTGGACTCCCAATCTCTTAAGGGATTTTATTTGTATCTGTTAAAGTTCTTCATTTGCCTAAACATTTGCACTAATTGCAGGGTATCGGGCCGGGTCGTTCTGTACCCTTAACTTTTAGACCTCAAGTTGTTCAGTCTCAAAGTTGATCCATCCCAAAGTTGATTTGAGCCAAGTTGTTCTGTCCCCAAAACTTAGCCAGTCCACTGTTTCATACTACACTCATTATATCCAGACCAAGATTATACATTTATTTATTACACAAAAGATTGAAAGAAATGAACTTTATGGAGGAAAAAAATCAATAACATCAAGGATTTATACAGTATAAATCCTTGATTACCATGACTACATGTACAAAATGAACATAAGCATGCACATATCACTCATGAATTAATTTGGTTTTATTTTGTAATAGGTTAAATTTTCAGACATTAAAAAAAAATATTTTGGCAGAATTACTAATGTTTAAGGTAAATGTATAGTAATGTCATCGGAGTAGGGCAGTTTCAACTTCATCATGTTCATGAGCAAAATTTATTTCAAAAACCTTATCAGTCAAATTCATTACTTAAACAAGTTACTTTTCAAAATTACCATCAAAGTTTTGTTGAAAATGAGGTAATTTTGATTATTACTTTTGTAAAATAAAAAAATTTGTAAGGGTTCCACGGAACCCAGTGTCTCGCCTACTTTTGCTTTTAGTCGCAGACTCAACAAAAATGGGGAAAAATTATTAAAAATTTTCCTCTAGATAGTATCTTTTGATTGTAAGAAGCTTCTGTCCAAGTTTGGTAAAAATCCAGGATGGTTTATGAATCGAATAAATGTTTAACTGCAGACTGTATGATGTTAACTGGAAGAAAAACTAAATCTATTTATAAGTAATATACGGAAAAACAGGAATTACATTTTTACAAAATTTCCTTCTAGATACTAGCTTTTGATCATAAACAAGCTTCTGTCCAAGTTTGATACAAATCCAGGATAGTTTAAGAAAGTTATTAAAATTTTTAAAACTTTAACCACAGAGTGAATGTAATGTTAACTGTTAGAAAAACTAAGTCCATTTAAGTAAAATACTGAAAAACAGGATTTTTTTTTTACAAAATTTACCTCTGGATACTAGCTTTTGATCATAACAAGCTTCTGTCCAAGTTTGGTGGAAATCCAGGATAGTTTAAGAAAGTTATTTAAATTTTAAAAACTTTAACCACAGAGTGAATGTAATGTTAACTGGCAGAAAAACTAAGTCCATTTATGTAAGTAAAATACGGATAAACTGGATTTTTTTTTTTACAAAATTTACTTCTGGATACAATCATAACAATCTTATTATCATATACAAGCTTCTGTCCAAGTTTGGTAGAAATGCAGGATAGTTTAAGAAAGTTATTAAAATTTCAAAAACTTTAACCACAGTGTGAATATTTGTGGACGCCGCTGCAGACGACAACGCCGGCGACGGAATGTAGGATCGCTATGGCTCGCTTTTGCAACAAAAGTTGCAGGCTCGACAATGAGTTCGTTAACGGAGGTTCCATGCATACAGAATTGCACTAGCATAAACAAATTTTCTCAGACTGTCAGATATTTGGTTAGTTTTTCCAAAGAGTATAAAAAAATAATCCTCCTGAAACACTAGTTGCCTGCAAGACGCACTTACATCTAATACTGACACTTCTGGGTCAAAAACTACATTCTAATTTTTCTTAGAAATCTTAAATGTAGACGGATATAAAAAGATGAAAATGTGATTTAATAGAGAATATAAGTATTTTTAAATGCATGATTTGTAACCCAAAAGTTTAAATAATTACATATGTTCCTTATATAATTGTAATTATTAATTATTTCAATATGTTCAAAGATGAAAAATAACCTATAGAAGTAATATTTATATTTTTGACATTATTTTAAAAGTAATGTTTTATCTGTATACTCCTCTCAATTTAAATAAATTCTTAATTTCTTGCATAAAATAATGTAAAAAAACTCATAAAAACTTCATGAAGTGTATGTTTCTGCATCATGTATATTGAAATTTAGAATAACTCTATTGAATTTTTTTTCTTAAAAAAATTACGTACATATATATATATATATATATATATATACCTATACAAATATTTTTAAAAAAAATGTTCATGCCCCTGACCAAAGCTGACTGCTAAAACATTTTACATACATGTAGCTCTTAATGAAATTAATATTTTACAGATCACTTGCAGAAACTGGTGAACACATCAATGTTTTTTGCTATAAAGATTTACCAAAACTGAACACTGAAATGATTTCTCATTGTTTTTTTTCAGTCTCTTATCGGGATTTTCTGATGGTACAGCAGCTATTCATGACGTAATAAATCAGACAGGGAATGTAAAATACACCTGTAAAGTGGTATGTAAAATAGACAGAAATAATCGTTACAGACACAACTCAAGTATACAATCAGTATGTTGGTACCCACTGGACACTGGAATTTTTACAACCAGTGGAACAGACAAACTTCTCAAAGTCTGGGACACAAATAATCTGATAGTAAGTATCAATGAAAAATACAACACATTGAAGCTAACACTACAAAATGTACAAAAATGTATCATTTAAAGGGACTTCAAATCCAGCTAAAGAACGCCTGGGTCATGTTCTACATACCAGGGTCATTATGCATGTATGTACATGTAGGATTTGAAAAAGGTCAGGGTTCAAATCTTAATTAAGGTATTTGATGCATTGTGAGGATAATATAGATAACCTTAATATTATATTTTTGGGGTAAAGTCAGTACAATATGGGTTTTGATTCTATATATTCCAAGGTTTATCACACCCTTGATAATTCAAACAAAATAGTGCAGTGAAGTGATCATTCTTTTGTTCCTATCCAATCAATGTCATTGATGATATGTTATACATATGTGTACTTAGATATTTAAGTTAAAATATAATTTGTATTTGAATTACCATACCTTGGAATTTTTTTTTATTATGAATTACATAAGTAATGCATGGTGTATGAATCTGTTATAAAATATGTTTGTTTTTTTAATTAGTTGTTATTGGCTTTGAACTAGCTGTCAGTAACTGTGAGTACTCTCAGATCTGTACTTAGTGTCCTGTCTGTGTTTATGTTTGATGTTTTTCTGCTTTGTATTGATCAGATGAGTTAAGCCCTTTTCAACTGATTTTTATACGATCGGCGTCGTCGTCCGAAGACACATTGGTTTTCGCACTCTAACTTTAGTTTAAGTGAATGGATCTCTTTGAAATTTTACCATAAGGTTCAATACCACAAAAGGAAGGTGGGGATTGATTTTGGGGGTTATGGTTCCAACAGTTAAGGATTTAGGGGCCACAAAGGGGCCAAAAATAAGCATTTTCTAGTTTCCAGACAATAACTGTGGAATGGTGTATGGATCTCTCTGAAATTATACTACAAGTTTCCATACCACAAAGGGATGGTTAGGATTTGCTTTGGGGGGTTATGGCTCAAACCGTTTAGGAATTAGGGGCAAAAAAGGGGGAAAACAAGGTTGTCCTGGTTAATGGACAAATACTTTAGTACAAAACATAATTTAAAGCAGTGTAAGGGAGATAAATCAAATACATCATTGAAATTATCTCCCTTACACTGCTTTTAAATTATGAATAAAGTAATGGTTAATGAACAATTAAGATAATTTAAAACAGTGTAACGGAGGTAATCCAAATACAACGTTTTGGTTACTTCCCTTACACTGCTTTTAAATTATGTTTAAAGAAATGCATATTTATAAAGGAAGACCAGTAAAAATATCTGCAAATGTTGCATTTTTTTTTTTTTACAAAAAAATCCATATGAAAGATTTGACACTATATTTTAAATTCTATTATAAAATAGATTAAGTTAGCACTATGGTAAATTTAAATGGGTAATTATGGTTGCAAACTCCATTGGAAATTTGATTGAGATTATGACCATATCTTGAGGAAAGAATTTTTTTTGGGAAAAAAGGGGGGTAAAAAGAAATTGTGGGGGGGTCAATTTTTTCTCATTTCAGATTTCAGAAATTATAAAGAATTATTATTCAAATATTATTTTTTTTTCAAATTTCAAATATTGAAAAATTTCAAGAAGTAATCTTTAATTGCACAGTATGGCGCATTAGATTTTTAAAATCTTTGACCACATTTATTTATTTGTTATGCCGAATCTAACCGTGTATTTAGATTTTTAATTTTGGGTCCTGTTTTTTAAATTTGTCTACATTAAGGTCCAAAGGGTCCAAAATTAAACTTAGTTTGATTTTAACAAAAACTGAATTCTTGGGGTTCTTTGATATGCTGAATCTAAACATGTATTTAGAATTTAGATTTTTGGCCCAGTTTTCAAGTTGGTCCAAATTGGGGTCCAAAATTAAACTTTGTTTGATTTCAACAAAAATTGAATATATGGGGTTCTTTGATATGCTGAATCTAACCATGTATTTAGATTTTTTATTTGTGGGCCCGCTATCAAATTGGTTCATATTGAGGTCAAAAGGGTCCAAAATTAAACTTTGTTTGATTTCATCAAAATTGAATTATTGGGGTTCTTTGATATGACAAATCTAACCGTGTATTTAGATTTTTAATTTTGGGTCCAGTTTTTTAAATTGGTCTACATTAAGGTCCAAAGGGTCCAAAATTAAACTTAGTTTGATTTTAACAAAAATTGAATTCTTGGGGTTCTTTGATATGCTGAATCTAAACATGTGTTTAGATTTTTGATTATGGGCCCAGTTTTCAAGTTGGTCCAAGTTGGGGTCCAAAATTAAACTTTTTTTGATTTCAACAAAAATTGAATATATGGGGTTCTTTGATATGCTGAATCTAACCATGTATTTAGATTTTTTATTTGTGGGCCCCGCTATCAAATTGGTTCATATTGAGGTCAAAAGGGTCAAAAATTAAACTTTGTTTGATTTCATCAAAAATTGAATTATTGGGGTTGTTTGATATTCCAAATCTAACCGTGTATTTAGATTTTTAATTTTGGGTCCCGTTTTTTAAATTGGTCTACAGAAAGGTCCAAAGGGTCCAAAATTAAACTTAGTTTGATTTTAACAAAAATTGAATTCTTGGGGTTCTTTGATATGCTGAATCTAAACATGTGTTTAGATTTTTGATTATGGGCCCAGTTTTCAAGTTTGTCCAAGTTGGGGTCCAAAATTAAACTTTGTTTGATTTCAACAAAAATTGAATATATGGGGTTCTTTGATATGCTGAATCTAACCATGTATTTTGATTTTGGACATTGGACCATAATAGGTAAATCAAAACAATTCAAGTTCTTAGACCACATTCTTTCTGTGTCAGAAACCTATGCTGTGTCAAATATTTAATCACAATCCAAATTCAGAGCTGTATCAAGCTTGAATGTTGTGTCCATACTTGCCCCAACTGTTCAGGGTTCGACCTCTGCGATCGTATCAAGCTGCGCCCAGCGAAGCATTTTATTATAGTTTGTTCTTATGTTGTGCTATTACACCACTGTTCCAGGTTAAGGGGAGGGTTGAGTGCTCACAAACATGTATAACTCCTCCACATTCTTTATGTGCCTGTCCCAAGTCAGGAGCCTGTAGTTTAGTGGTTGTCGTTGTTTCATGTCTGTCATATTTGTTTTTCGTTAATTGTTTTTTTATAAATTAGGCCGTTAGTTTTTTCAATTGAATTGTTTCATATTTTTCATGTCTGCCTTTTATAGCTGACTATATGGTATGGGTTTTTCTCATTGTTGAAGGCAGTACAGATGCCTGTCACTATAATTGCTTACATCCACTTTATTTGAACTTTGGTGGATAGTTGTCTCATTGGCAATCATACCTCATCTCCATATTTTTATATTGATTACAAATATACAATCATCAACCAAGTAACTCTTAACTCAAATTTATAATATGCCTAGCTAAATACAGTTCAATGTTTTTATATTAAATCACAAAATTGCAAAATGAAAGCAATCTTTACCCTTCAATGCTCACAACCACTTTAATTACTTCACCTGGCCCAAATGGCCTTGTGAACAATAGCCATCAAACTTGGTATGTTGTTGCATCATTGGGTGGGGGTTGTCATATACCAAAGTCAGGTCACCCTGGTAAAACATTGTCTGCTTTGTGTAAGGTTCATAACTTTTGTACCCTAGCGCTTAAATTGACAAAACTTTGTATGCAGAAGCATCATACTGACCTTTGATCCCACTGATCCCAATGATAGTAAAACATAGTCTGATTTGTGTACAGTGCATATATATATATATATAGGAATTTGATGTTCAGTAATTGTCGTTTGTTGATGTGGTTCATAAGTGTTTCTCGTTTTTTATATAGATTAGACCGTTGGTTTTCCCGTTTGAATGGTTTTATACTAGTAATTTTTGGGGCCCTTTATAGCTTACTGTTCGGTGTTAGCCAAGGCTCCGTGTTGAAGACCGTACTGTGACCTATAATGGTTTACTTTTATAAATTTTGACTTGGATGGAGAGTTGTCTCATTGGCACTCATTCCACATTTTCTTATATCTAATAACTTTGGTACAATAGCACCACAATTATGCTTTTATAATAACTTAGTATCAAAGCATAATTGTATTATTATTATTAAGTATATGAGCCCAAAGAAGAAAAAAGCATTTTCAGACTTACAATGTACTAAAGTCAGAATATGCTAGACTTTAAAATATTCAGGTCAGGTTCTGTTCAGTGAATCTTGAATTTTAAGCATTTTAAAATTTGTAGTCAATAAATAACCATTAATATTTATATGATGATAATCAATATCAAAATCTATCTTTGAATGCTGGTTTTACAGTAAATCATACTGGAAATTTTTCACAATTTGTCACAAATAAACAATTTCATACATGACTCCATTTTTTAGGCTCTCATTCATTTTTTCAGCATTAAAAAGGTGTTTGTGGAAGGCATTCGTAACATTGTCATGCAGATGCTCAACTTTTATATAATATACATTTTTTGTATAATGGTGCATGGCTCAAAAAGATAGACATTAAGGTTATACTTGTAGAAGTCAAAATTTTAAAAAGTTTTGTTAAGAGGACAAAATGGCATGAAATTTAATTACAAGTCCGATTTTTTAATTAAAGGGAAATAACTCATGACACAAAATATTTTCATCCCTATAGGTCAGAAAATTCTTACTTAATTAAATATTATGTCAGAGCTCTGAATGATATTGATTAGATATATATTCTTCTCTATTTTATGATTTAGTATAGTCTAAAAGTGTATTATTTAAAATATCATTAATATCTCTGTTTCTGTTTCAGCCAGTGGATGAATATGAATTCAGTGGAATTGTTTACCAACATGACCTCTCCCCTGTTGCAACAAAACATTGCCTTATAGCAGTTGGTTGTCAGAGTTCTAGGCTGAAGCTAGTGGATTTAAAGTCAGGGGCAAGTTCACACATGTTAAAAGGTCACCAAAGTTCTATATACTGTGTTAAATGGTCTCCTAAAGATGAATTTATTTTAGCCTCTGGTGGGTAAGTAAATACATGTATATATCTGTATAGTGCAGGAAGTAAGTGTGATATTTGGCTGTTTTGATATTAGCTGCTAGAGAATGACAATACAGATAATTCAACTGTAAACATATCTTTTTACATAGAAGTGTAATCATTTTATCAGCAGAAAGTTTTGGTGTATATAAAAAGGACATAATTTAGTAACAAATCATTTATCCATCCGTACATTTTATTTTTATGTACTAAAAAGGGATAAGTCAAAGATATCAATTTTAATGTTGTTAAATAATAGTTTTATCACAAGTTCAGAATATTGCTACACATCTGCATGCTGTTGTATAATTATCAGTCATTATTTCAGATCTGTATTTGACTAATTAAAATGCTATTTACTTAGAACAAGCTACTTCGGTAGAAACTCATTCAGTATTTATTTTGTACAAACGTTTGAAATTAGTAGTTTAAGACATAAAAACATAAATATTTTTCTTTATATTCTAAGATCTCCTCATTGTTTATTTATTTACTCCACAAGTCAGTGTATCAAAGAAAACAATATAATTTTTTACATTTTAATAAAATTTGAAAAACATTTTTTTGCTTGCAGAAGGTTATTTTTCAGTCATACATTTTGAAAAAATAATTTCCCTAATTCAAATCAACAGTACACAGTATACATGTACCTGTACCTTTATTTTATAACCAGTAGCTTACAGTATATCTTTTTATCTTCAGAGCTGATAACCGTGTATTATTATGGGATGTGAGAAGTGCTAAAGGTGCTATGAAGGTGTTAGATCAGTATAATGGCAAAGAACCTTCAGATAATATTACTGGTTAGTAAATTTGAAAACTTAAAAATTCTGGTCCGACAGGTCCAGCCTGTCACTTGTACAAAGCAGGGTTCAAATTAAACATTCAATTCTTATAATTACATTTTTTTGCTACAACTCGGAATTTATGAGAGGCCTCTTGTGGCCAAGAGATCCAAGTAGTCGAACTACTGTATCACTAGCCTTTCAACACTGGGGTTGTGGGTTCGAATCCTGCATGTGGCAGGTGTGCGCTCGTCTCCTATCTTAATTGTCTAGGATTATCAGTTTTCCTACAGTAGGACGGTGGTTCTCTCGGTTCCTCCACCAATAAAAACTGACCGCCACAAAATAGCACAATAGTGCTGAAAGTGGGGTTAAACACCTATCAATCAATCAGGAAATTATGAGTGTTATCACGTTTCATTTGTTTTCCTAATCATTGTTAAGTTGCCATGGGAAGCACACGCTGTCATAAATTTTGCATTCTTTTGGGAGAACAAATATAATTTTCGAATGCCACGCAATTTTTGTCTGCCAATCAAATTACGGATTCTTGTGACACATATACATGTATGTAATGTAATTATTTTTTAATAATCAAATTAAGCTAAATCTTGTAAAGCACCTCAGTTTGAAATAAGGTGTATGACTTTCATGGGTTATCTTTGATTTGATATTATTCAGCATTTGTTGGGTTATTGAAGTTGCAACAATCAATCAAACAGGTTTTATTTGAGTGGAGATTTTTTAATCACCACTGTAAAGTGTTGATATTTTTAACTGAAATATTTTTCACTTTCTACTGTTTCCAGAAATACTTGTATCATTATATTTTATTTCTGATAACCATCTCTGTTTATATAGCAAATATTTTAAATACATTAAAGTTACAATTTGATCTGTTTTGAATTAAGAGTGAAGCGATAAAATTACAAAATGTTGTTAGTTGTTAAGTGTAGTGTTGAGGTGATAATGTTGCTCAATGTCATTAAATTATTTCCATCTGTTGAAGACAACAGGTATTTATTAAATATATATTTTTCTACTTTAAGGTAACACAGCACATCATGGTGCCATAAATGGACTTTCATTTACATCAGATGGTCTTCATCTTATTTCCTATGGTACTGATAACTGTATCAGACTGTGGGATGCTAACTCAGGAAAAAATTGTCTCATAAACTACGGAAATGTTCCAAATGATACGAAAAAATTAGTGCAATTAAGTGTGAGTAATGGATGCTCACCAGACGTCTTATTCATACCAAACCGATCAAATATTGACATGTTTGACGTTTATACCGGTGAAAAAATTGACAGACTGAAAGGTCATTATAATTCTGTGAACTGTTGTAAATTTCATTCTCCTACGCAAGATGTTTATAGTGGAGGAAATGACAGAAACATATTAATATGGACACCTGATACAGATTCGTCATATGATGACTACTTAAAAACTCAAAGTGAGTTAAAAGAGAACTCAGCTGATGAAGTACGGACAACAAGAACTACTGTTATGATTGACACTTGGAGTAGTGATGAAGATGATTGAATTTTAATTTTCATAATTGTATATATAATCTGTGGCAAGTTTAGTTTGTTGAAGGTGTGAAAGAGAGGAGAAAGATACGAAAAGGATATTTAGAAAAACGATCAAAAGACAAACAACATGTATACAAAACACCAATCTAATTAAAATTAGTTCTCTGCACTTGCTTCTCTTTTTCATTTAATTGTTTATATGTAGCATTTGGGAGGATCTGCGACGAGCGACATATAAATAACTGAACAAAAATTAGGACAAGTGTGGAGAACTTATTTTAATTAGATTGACAAAACACAACATATAGAAAACTAAAGACTGAGAAATATGAACCCCACCGAAAAAAAAAAAACATAGGTCTTGGGTGCTCCGAAAAGTGTGGCACAGGTGACACAGGTATTATTTTATGGCAATGGTGCAAGCAGATGATTTTCATGATAAGGTTGATGTCTCAATTTTTAAAATAATTGATATAAAGACACAAAATTTTCTGTCATTAGATGAATCATCATGTTATGTTTAACTATGACCTTAATTCCATGCTTAATTGACTATGAAATATGTGTTCATGTATGAAGTATTTATGAGTAGACTTTTACTGAAATAAAAAAAAAATTACAGATAGTTTACTGAATTTGTTTTACTCAAAAGTGTTCTTGATATACTAACTAGTAATCAGGAACACGCACAGTCATATAATATTATTTGTAGCAGAAATAGATTTAAAAAAACATTCAAAACCATTTACAGTCATCGCTGCCTGAGAAGTGAAAGTGGCTGGCCATGGTCGATACTATTGACTCTTATCATTTCTGTAACTAGAAAATACTCTTTTACTGTTCATGCTGTTAGCTGATATAAAAAGTCATATACAAGTTAAAAACTGTTTTATGGGCCAACTCCATTCCTGCATCTTTGAACTGACATGGTCATTCTGCACGCTTGAAATTGTATAAAAGGATCTTTGTACTATACATGTACATGTACATTGTATATCTAATTATGTACATTATTCAACCCTACCTATATAAATATGTTAATGTGATCATTTATTACATTTATCTTTATAAAATTAAATGTAAGACAATGTGGTATAATGTCCAATGAGACAGCTCTCCACCAGAGAACAAATGACATAGAAGTTTGTGCTATCCGGAAATTTAAGTTATCCCCTCTTTGTTCAACTTAATTAAGTAAATTGTATTCACAAATGACATTAAATAATGTTGTTTAAAGTCCAATATAATGATGGATTGATAACTTATTAAACTTTGCCGATCTTCTCCCTGATTGTAATACAAACATGCCAGTCTGAGGTGTGCCTCCTGATACTGAACTTATTTTTATTTTACACTGATAACTGTCAATTTTTTGTCTCGCCTTGACGGAGTCAAAAAGTGAGACATAGGTATGCTGTTTGCGGCGGCGGTGGCGGCGTCAACAATGTATAAGTTTGTGATTAGGTCTAGTTTATGGTGAACCACAAGTGGTAGGTCAATGATATTTGGTATGCAGTTGTATTAGCATTGGCATATCTCATTTCAATGGAGATTATTTGGCCCTGCCCCCTCAGTCATGGTCTATTGACTTTGAAACTTTTGCTTAGTTTACATGTATTAGTTTGTGATTAGGTCAGTTTATGGGGAACCACTAGTGGTAGGCCAATGATATTTGGTATGCAGTTGTATAAGCATTGGCATATCTCATTTCCATGGAGATTATTTGGCTCCGCCCCCTTAGTCATGGTCTATTGACTTTGAAAATTTTGCTTAGTTTACATGTATTAGTTTGTGATTAGGTCAGTTCAAGGGGAACCATTAGTGGTAGGCCAATGTTAATTGGTATTCAGTTGTATAAGCATTAGCACATCTCATTTCCATTGAAAATATATGGCCCTGCCCCCTCTGTCATGGTCTATTGACTTTGAAACTTTTGCTTAGTTTACATGTATTAGTTTGTGATTAGATCAGTTTAAGATGAACTGCTTATGTTAAGTCAATGATATTTGGTATGCAAATTTATTGACATTTGCAAGTATCGTTTCCATGGAGATTATGTAGCCCCACCCCATCATAATGGTTCATTGACTTTGAAACTTTTACATAGTTTACAAGTTAATGTTTGTGTTTAGGTTTGTTTAAAGTGAACAACTTATAATAAGTCAATGGTATTTGGTATGCAGTTGTATTAGCATTGGCACATCTCATTTCCATGGAGATTGTTTAGTCATGTACCTTCAGTCATGGTTCATCGACTTTGAATATTTGCATAACTTACATGTTAAAGTATTGCTATTTTATTTTCAACATTTGCATTATCAAAATTACAAAAAGGCGAGACATATCTCTGTGATAACAGTTTAATTGATATTAAAGTACATTTCTTGTAACTGTCGATCAACTATATTTGTAAACTAGTCTTTAAATTTACTGTGTGGTTCATTTGATGGAAAGAAGTCACCTGTTCCTAACTTCAGGGATCGATTTTCATTCAATATACCGTGGGGTAAGTGAAAAGTTAAGACTGTTTGGTAATGATAGGTACATTGTAGTCTCAAAGGTGTTAGTTTTACCTGACAATATCTTCACATCTCATACAATTAAGGAGATGTGGCATTATTGCCATTGAGACAACTTTCCAACAGAGTCCAGATGACATGGATGTAACGTACTAAAGGTCACCATAAGTCTTTCAATAATAAGCAAAACCCATACCGTATTGTCAGTTATAAAAGGCCAACATGACTAAAAATTAAACAATTTAAACAAGAAAACCAACAGCCCGATTAATGACAAAACAATAAAAGAAAACAAATATGATGGACAGAAACCAAGGACAACCACTAAATTACAGGCTTCTGACTTGGGACTGGCACATAAAGAATGTTGCATGTTAAAAATTGATAAATATGTTTGAGAGTTCTCAACCCTTCTAACCTGGCACAGTGGTGAAACAACACAACATTAAAAATTACCAAAAATTGGTTGGAAGTGGCTCAACTCATCAGATTGGCACAATGCGCGAAAACAACTATTGTGAAAGAAACCTTTCCCGAGATTGAGTTTCCTCTTGGTCAAGGTATTTAAATGTTTGCAAGTTCACCTTTCCTATTGTATACAATAGCTATTATTCCCTGTGGAATTTATTCAATGGGACCTTTAAATTTCTCCTTGAAAACCCAATTATTCATTGTTTAATTTAACTGAACAAAAAAAAAGTCATGAGCAGAGAAGTGATATTATAAGCATTTTATAAGCTATACATTGATCAACTTGTTTAGTGCTTTTCTCCTTGCCATCATATAGAAAGAAGTACCACCATGTAGAATGCCACATAGGAGGTGTTGGATTTCTTTGAAACGAAGCAGCTCCAAAACAAAGAAAAACGATCAAGGTAAGTAAAAGTATCAAAACTTCTTTTCTGAATTGTTAACACCAAATAATGTATTTAATACAATAATCGCTATGAAGGTACCAACCCATAATCTATTTCCATCAAGCAGAAGTAGGCTTATCTATTGATCTGTTTTCTTATATTTCCTTGTCTCGGCTTTGAAGTTTCTGTATTAAAAATGTCTTTTCCTAGACCTATTTCAATATATTTTATATAGAAATGAATCATACCATATAATTAAACCTAATGCCACCTTCCCTGTCAAAATGTCTTAGTTTTAAAGTTTATTTTCCATCGAAGATAATAATAAGGTGCATCAGATTGCAGATTTTAGCATTTCATGGTGGTGATCACGTATTCATAAAATGGTAAATTTTGCCTTGAATTCTCACTTTATTTACTCGTAGGCAAACATGTACATGCATAAATTAGAAAAGCTTTGGATTAAATGCCAAGAAGACAATAAATTTTTTTCAAAAGAATCGAGGAGAACAAATGGTCATATTTGAAGTGACAGATTATTCTTCATTCCTGCTTTGATATTACAAAGTTATGATTTAGAATAATAGGTTAGGACATGGACATTGCTTTTTTATTTTCATCGTTATCAAGAACCAAGACACCTATAGCTAGTCCTTTCCTTTTACTTGTTTATAATCCTTTACATATCTTCGATATCTTGAGTGACTATCTTAGTACAAAAACTACTTTTATTACACGTACAATAGCTTGATCACCTGCGTTTGTTTTGGTTAGGTTATGTTAATTTTTTTCTTTTTTTTGTGGGGGGGGGGGGGGGGGGGGGGGGGAGTATTCTGTCTGTTGCCTTTTCTTATTTTGTTTCCGGTATTTTATTTCTTACACAGTGTTATTTTTCAGTGATTACATTGATAACGAATTTGACCTTCCAGCCAGAGGAATAGGAAGACGTAAAATAAAATTCTGAGACATATTTGTGATATTAGGTTATTGTCGGTGCGGTCGAAAGAATGAATCCAAAATTCCTCCAACAAAACGTTTTGGAATGGAACTTAAGGAGTTTAAAGATCATACAGAAACTGATTGTTTTAAGATTATTAGTTTTAACAACTCCTAGGCATCATTCAAAGTAACAATTAGCAAAATGTATGAAAAATGTGTTTTCTTCAAATGAATACTGATAAAAAAAAACAATATGAATAAAAATCAAACTCACAAATAGATCCGACACCTGAATTCTACGTGCTCACATGTATAAACTCTACAGTTAGGTGTCTTAGATTGTCAACTACAAAATTACACAATCAATAGATACAACAACTGGAGGTCAGATGCGGATTTAGGGAGCAGGGTGCCCGGGCCCCCCTTTTGTGGGAAAAAATTGGTTGCTTATTTAGGGAATCACTAAAGCATGACTAAGCTGCCCCCCCTCTTATAGCAATCATTGCCCCCCCCCCCCCCCCCCTTTTATGAAAATTTCTAGATCCGCCACTGGAGGTTCAACTGTATTAATTATGTTACAAAAAAAGGAAACGTATTCTAATATTAAAATCACGTGGCTTATTTCGTAAATGAGATGTTAAATGAAGGCTTTAATTGGATATTCCTGACTTTTAATACATAATTCATACAAAATTTATTTAATAACGCCATGTATCGACAATGTCTCATTTGTTTTAATGTCTTTAATGATTGTCTCACCACCGTGAGATACTATATATGACATTAGGGTTTAGTTCATTTCGATTTAAAATATACGAAAACGTGACGTCGCCGAAAAGGGACTTGCATTAGAATTCTCAAAATTTGCGAAACGGATAACTTACTTAAAACAGAGCACTGGGAGACGTCTGCTTCTGCAAGGTGGGAAAAATATGGGTTGATACCTCCCGTGCAGTGCATTATTTAGTCCAAACAATTTTGAAAACAGAATTTTACTATTCTTAATGGCATTGATCGATATGTTAGTTTAATCGAAGACAACACCCGACAAGTGCCGTTCTTCGTGATGATAACCCTATGACCACTTTCCGTGGTGCTAAAATTTATTTTTATTTTCAGTACTAATTTTTTCAGTAATGTTTTTTCAGTGAAATTCTTTGCTGTATGAAAATAACAATTCATATACCAAGACTTTAACCAAAGAGGTTTAATATGACAATTGCAATAACATTTTTTTTTGCTTTTCACTTCAAATCTCATCATTTTTTATAATAAATTTGGAAAGAAAGTATTTAAAATATGTAAATATATCACA